GGGGGGGGGGGGGGGGGAGGGGGGCGCACCAGACCGGGCAGGCTGACACGGGCTCGCACCCGAGTGCTACGGCGTTCCCTGGACGTTGACCAGATGTTGGCGCCTTGTTGCGTGAGTGTGGGGCACTGGGCCGGCACTGTGCAGTGCAAAGCCGGCGGGGGGCATCCCTGGGGGGCGTCAGCCGCTGGGATCTCACCGTTTTCTAGACTTTTATGGCAGTTGGGATAAAAAGAAGTGTGCCTCTCCGACTCTGGAACAATGAACAATGTCAACGCGATGTCATTAGAAGACTTTATAATTATCCTGGACTAATTCCTGGGTAGTTCCTGAGGGATTAGGTTAGGCCAGCAGAGCAGGCAGATGATTGTCGTTATTGGTCCTGGTGAAGTTTTCATCCCAGCTCTGTTTTTCCTCTGACTTTCCCATCTTCTGATGGAAATAAAATTTTTATCACATGGCGCGGTTAATCCAGCCAGAGAGCGCGTGTAACGGAATCATCCGGATCGATGAGAGGAATAATAACTGGTGGAAATAATTTAAATGAGAATAAAAAAGAAACTAGCAGGTGACAGAGTCATTGGTGATCTGAATGAAAATAATGCGGGGGGGGGGGTGACTGGCAAATTCCGATCATTTAAAATTAGGAAAAGTAATCATTATAATAAGTAATATAATTAATAGTATGATTATAATAAGGTAAATTGTTTTCTGTTTCTCCCCAATTTTGTTACCAAAAGAAGCCCCCCCCCCCCGCAGCCCGCACCTGTGGGCCGTCATGCTTTCTAATGGCTTTAATTAGCACCGGGAAGCACTGGTTCCTCTTGCAGGGCGTGTGCCCGGTGGGGGGGTGTGGGAGGTGCTTCCGCTTTCTGCTGCGGCTGGGGGGCAGGCCACCTTGGGCTGGGACAAACTGGCCTCAGGTCTGTTTGGGCTGCCAGTCACAGTGCTCCACAGCGCCACCACTGGAGGTTATCAGCAAAGTGATTTTCATCTTTTTTCAGACATCTGAACTGGGGCCCCTCGTCGTCGTCATGGGCTGTTTAAGAAACCGACTCTGGTTCGGTACCGTCCTGTGTGGTGATCCCAAATTAGCGGGCAGCCGTTGTGAGCCCGTGTGATTCCGCCGGTGCCCTTGGCGCTGTTTGAGGGCCACATGCGTTTTCATTACTATTGACCATGGCTTGCTGGCTGCTTTGCTGTGAAACCGGAACCCCAATCAGCTCATTTTCCGATTCATATTAAACCTGTGGGCCGGCTTTAGAATTGGGTCTCTCTACAATTTAATATAGTCCTTTTATTAATAACTTTCTCTTCCGTCTCCACCGCGTCCCCTGAAACTTGCTCTGCTCTATTTCTTCGGCCGACTCAATCTGGCATTTCGGAGCAAACCGAATAGATCCCTCGTATCTTGCTGTGACTCAGTCGCTGAGAAATGGCAGTGAATCACTGCCTGTTTTGCGACACCCCCTGATATTGCGCCGTTGCAATGCCTGCTCGCTGCATCACCCGACTTTTTCTGTTTTTTTTAAACTTTGTAATGGCCGGTAGTTGGATGACTGTTTGCAGCCTGCAGACACACCAGAAATTTAAGGTGGCATGACTTCGCCTGGCAGATTTCACATGGTCTCCAGGAGACACGCGGGCAGCCCACCTTAAGGGCTGTTCCTGATGCTCTGTTTACCTGATGATGATAACCAGCACTGTGTCCGTCTCCCTGCGTGTCTGTGAGTTGCTCGCACACCCGTCACCATGGTCTGTCGCTCTCCCCGCTGCCTCATGGCCCCTGGCTGGATTTTCACAGCCCCCCGCTGAACAAACAGTCGCTGGAGTGTCTGAAAATCCAGATTCCGTCCTTTTGTAGGCACAGTGCAGCAGCTCGACGTTAAAGAGGATCTCATACCTCCAGCTCCTAGGAGCAAGTGGCCCCCGGATACCCCACCCCCACCCCTCAAATCCAAAATCTTTCACCTGGAAGTCGCTGTGTACCAATAGCAGCTGAAGCACCCTGCCAAGAGTCGGCGGAGCGTGGAAAACGGCCCGGCTCGTC